ATGGATGAACTGATTGAAAAAGAAGAACTCTTATAAACTTTCTAGTTTATTGTCCCAGAGGTACTATTTTTCTAAAATCCGTTGATGCTTCTCATGCTTCAAAAACTGCAGATATGTTGTATAAGCTTTTTAGAGAGGTGGTTTTATTTGTTGGGTCTGAAAATGTAGTTCACATGGTGACAGATAATGCTGCAAATTATGTTGCTGCTGGAAGGTTATTAGAAAATGAGTTTCCTACTTTATTTTGGTCTCCTTGTGCGGCACATTGCATTAACTTGATGTTGCAAGACATGGAAAAATTAGAGGAAGTAAGTGAGACAGTGTCACATGCTTCTAATGTTACCAAATATATTTATAACCATTGTTATGCATTGTATTTAATGAGAAAGCAAATAGGTGGAAGAGAAATCCTTCGTCCTGCTCCAACTCGGTTTGCCACTAATTTCATTGCTTTGCAAAGTATTTTGTCTCACAAAAACTCACTAAGAGCCATGGTAACATCTAAAGAATGGACAAGCTCAACATATGCCAAAGAAGCAAAGGCAAAACAGTTTGTGGATCAAGTTTTAGATTCTGGATTTTGAAGTAAATGTGCTGATGTAGTTAAACTCATTGAATCACTTGCGCGTGTGTTGCGTATTGTTGATAGTGAAGATAAACCTGCTATGGGCATTCTATACAAATCTATAGTCAAAGCTAGAGAGGAGATGGTGAGGAGGTTTCAAAGAAATAAGAAGAAAGTGGATCCTTACTTGAAAATCTTAGATAAATGTTGGGATTCACAGCTCCGCAAAAATCTTCATGCTGCCGGTTATTGGTTAAATCCAACTTGTAGATATAATGATGTAGAATTTGAAAAACATGCATCCACAACATCATGACTTTTAGATGTCATTGAAAAGCATGCTAATGGAAATTCTGAACTTCGATTGAAGTTAACAGATGGATGAGAATATTCAAAGACGGTGAATTAGATTTTGGAAGGAAATCAGCCGTGGATGAACGATGTATTGTGAGGGCAGGTAATTTCATAACTTCTAACTCTTGATATATATTTTATTTTATATTTCAATATGTTTATAAATTTATTTAATCACATGGTATAAACAGATCAATGGTGGGAAACTTATGGCACTTGTACACCAACTTTGCAAATGTTAGCTATTCGTATTTTAAGCCAAACTTGTAGGACTTCGGGTTGTGAACGCAATTGGAGTATATTTGAGCATATTCATTCCAAAAAAAAAAATATAGATTGGAGCACCAAAAACTTAATGATTTAGTGTTTGTTCGTTACAACTTGAGACTTCAAAATAGGTATTATTATGGTTATTTTTCTCTGATCATTATATTTTTATATTTAAATACATATACTTAGATTTAATTCATGTGTGCTTAGGAAAATAAGAAATGAGAATTATGATTCTATCAATATTGAAACAATTGTCGACCATTCTAGTTGGGTATTAGATGATTCACCACCTCTCTTAACCAATGAAGAGTTGGAAGCATTGCTGAATGACCTTGCAAATATGACCATCAAACCAATTTCAACTGATATTGGTATGTTCTAATATGAGCATAATATAGTTTATGATTGTGAATCAATTTAATGTCTCATATTTACCATCTCTAAATTTTTTTTGTTAATTATTTTTTAAAATATTGTTATAGATCAAATAGATTTAGATGAGGATGAAGATGGAGATATGGGTAATGCACAAGATACTATTGTTGATACTGTGAATCAAGAAAAAAGCAACACCTGAGAAGATGAAGTTGGTGGAGAAGACAATGAAGTTGAAGATGGATATGAATATCAAGATTATGACAATTTGACTTCATGGACATAAAAAATTATGGATCGTTGAGTATGGATTTTTGTGACTTATTAATAATACTATAACTTATGAATTGTTAAGTTTCTATCACTTCTTTGAATTTATAATTTGCTACATTAAGTTTCTATCACTTATTTTGATTGTTACTAATACTTTTGTTTATTCTAAATTATTTGAATTTATAATTTTCTATATTATTATAGTTACAAATTTCAGGTAATGAATATATTTTTTCTAGAAATCGGGTCAAAAACCATGCGGTCTGACCAGTGACCCACTGGTCCGACCAGTAACTCACTGGTCCGACCAGTAACCCAGTGACCCAATAACTTTACCGAGTTGATCACCGATCTGAATTTTAAAACATTGAATGAAATGAATCAAAAAACACTAAATATTACACTTTGATAAATAATCTTAGAGCGATTCAAAGGGGAATCCACTCTATAAGAGATTGGTTAAAAATATATACATCCATACATACATATTAGAAAGTCAAATTGAAATTAACTCCGAAATTATAATACAATAAAGAAAAGCAACAAAATTTGAATTTATTCACAATATTGCAAAACAACATTCACTGTACATTTAGTGACACATGTCCCTTAATAAAATGGTAAAACAAAGCAAAAATAAATAAATTAAAAATAATAATAAAATAAAATTGTGATTTAAATTTGACACGTTTCTATAATATATAAAACCACATTTAAGATTTTTTTCATATCATATTACTACCATTATTCTATTTAAAAAAAAAAAAAAAAAAAAAAAAACATTACTATTTCAAATTGTCAATTAAATAAATTGTCATAATACCATCATCCTGTAAAAGTGCTAGTTGAGGAAATATATAGCAGCAGTTTTCAAATATAAACAAAATGAACATACTGGCTATTGTAAATTTCTAACCGAGACCTTCTTTTAAAAGAGTGAATTGAATATGTCTAGCTTAGAAAGTTATTCAAATTAAACTCAATCAAATACAATACTTTAAAGCTTCTATTAAAAAAAACTCCTAACTAAATTACAAATGAAGATCAAACACTTAATAAGTTCTAAAAGGATTGAATGCCAAAATAGTGATGTATAGAAATTAGAGTGGAATGAATTACCAAATTTTCAGACCAAAGAGAATTTTTATTTTCTGCACTTGCAATTCATCCAAGAAATATGTTGTAGCAACTCATGAAATGGACTAGTTTAAATATTTTCTCTCTTTGGGGCGGCTTCATATTATTAAGGATTAGGGTACAATCTGTGTAACAAATGCTTTTATTGTAAAATATAATTATTATACCCCTCAGTTTAAGAAAAAGTCAAGGTATTTTATCATCCTTTTTATCTATCACCTCGGGTTATAACAAAAATTGAGGTGAATTTTTTTTAACGGTTAGATTTACACAGAATATAAAAATAAATTGTTTAGAACAAATCTTTTTTGCACTTATAATCCATCATAGAGAATGATGCAACAAAACATGTATGAAGAATGAAGTTTGAATGTTAGAACTTTGCTTTCAAGTTAACTATTTTTTACCTGTTTTTTTTTTGTTGATGATAGTGGGTAAAAAATATCTTTCAATCAAAGCTAACAATTCATGTTTCATCATTCATGTTTTGTTGCATACCCTTGTGCGCATGCTTCTTAAGCTCAAGGATTTAAATGCATCCAACTTCTAATAAGTTATTTGTTCCAAACATTAAAAATGTTTTTTCTACATTTACAATCTATCATAGAAAGTGTATTCTAAGAATACAACAATAACATCAACACCATTATGTGAGATAGATTGCAAGAGTAAAAAAAAATATTTTGTTCAAGATTGAAGAACATTTTTTATGTCTTGCATTCCATCCGAAACAATGATGCTCGCGAGTTTGGAGTGACTTCATATTAATAAGGATTAGGGTAAAATCTATTTAACGAGTGTTTTTATAAAATTATTATTATTTTTTATCTTGGTTAAATATATAATCGAAGGGTTATATTATTTTGTTTACACTTAAAAATAAATAAAAACATAAACTACGTTAGCCGGAAATCAAAACATGTACTAAGTTGTTTTTCTCATGAGCTATACTAAAAACTGAAGGATTTTGTGATTTTTTATTTTAATAAATAATATAAAATGACGCGCCTTAACTTTATACTGCAGTTTTTCTTTTATTAAGGTGAAAGTTTTGTCATAAAAAATGTTATTTATTATAGTGAATTCTAGTTTTTGTTCTTGAACAAGTTGAAATTGAATTTGAAGATGAACAACAAGAGGGAAAAAGAGACATGGTGCATCAGGATATCATAGGTATTGCCATTAACCAGGCTAGAAACATCAAGTATCATGCGGTCTTTAATCCTAACATCATGAACACTAGTATTATTAGGCTAGAGAACATTGTCATTTAATTTGATTTCAATCTCAATGTTCTAAATGCTACAAGTTATTGGACATTACTCAATTGTCACGATCGATGATCCTCCCATACACTTGAAGCAATTACTTGGCGTTGTAAGTAATTTCAAAATTCCTAGGATAATTAATGGTGCTTTTAGACTTAGATTGTTTCCTTACTATCATAGGGATCACGCTAAGAGGTAGCTCAATTCCTTATAACCAAATTTCATAGCTACATAGAATAATTTGTCTAAAAAAAATTTGCAAATTTTTCTCGTGTGAAGAATACAAAATTGTGAAATGCTATTATTTCATTTCGACAAAAGGATGGTGAATCCATGTTTGATACCTGGAAAATATTCAAAGAGTTTACACCTTTCAACACTGTACCAATGAATTGGAACATTGCAACTTTGTCTAAAGAGTGCTCATTGAGTCCGTGGAAGTGATGTATAAAGGGGGAAAATGTCATTTTTCTTTTAATTAATTAATTAATTAAACCTCTTTTCTTGTAAAAAAAAAAATTAGTTAGTAGAGTTTTTATTTTTTTGATTTGCAATCTAAGTTCTTATAAATAGCATAAAAAGAAACATTATTTTGAAACAAATCCAGTGATATTTATTTATTCATCCATACATTAGTGATAAATCACAAGAGATGTCGCATTTCACAGCATATTTCTATGTTGTTCATGTACAGTCCAAATAAAACATGAATCAAAGTACATTAAGTAAAACTAGAAAGATCGAGGAAATGTGATTTACCGATAACACGGCAGTGATACCAAACTCTCACAGTAAATATGATGATCCCTCCCAAGTTTCATGGTTATCAATGGATCCAAGGCAACAGCAGTATTTGAGTTATATAGGATAAGCTGGGAGTCCATTATTACCATTAAAATACCATTTTCTGAAATGAAGAAAAGCTTAATCGAACAAGGTTGATTCCGGATGAACTTGTCATAAGGGATGACCATAAATTTAGTGAATGACTCAACAACTCCGTACTCTTTCATCATCCACAGGACCAAATGAAAATGTTGAGAGTCGAAATATTCAGACACACAAAGACAATCACTTAAAACAGACAGCTCTTGAAATTTGCACACATTGTTGTCACTGTCGTTTTGAGGTAACAACATTTTCATGTAAGTCTCCTTCTGGATATCAAAGGAAATAATAGTGTTCTCATGAGAAACTATCCAATTCAGAGTGCCGCTCACAAATTTTCCAATAAGCAGAGGATCATCATACGGATAATTGGGAATAGTTTTCCAGTAATCATCTTGACCAAAGGTATATATTTTGGTCAAAATTTGATAATCAGGTTTCTTACATCGTACCACTAGTAGCACCTTGTACTTGTCATTGACTTGATCATATCCAAAACCATAATTCATCATGAACCAATCTTTTGAAATAGGTTCCGAAGAGTTTTTGGATATGAAACGGAGAGAAGGATTGCACAGTACGACACAACAACGAGGAGGAAAGGTATCGAGCAGACACAGGAGGCCATTGCATGAACCTATAATACGATGAAAGCTCTCCTCCGAGTAGGTGAAGGTACCGGGTTTAACAGGGTTTGACGGGTCTTGGAATAATGGCTTCAAAGGGTAGGATACGATTTCCCACGGTTGTTTCCTAAAGGAAAACACCAACTGTTGGTTGGTAATGGTTGGATCCGAGGTTGAGATTCTTACATGGCTTTTTATGAAATGGGAACCGGAGATTAGAATTTTCCATGATTTGCACACACACTTGAATTGAAGGAGGGATCTTACCGGAAGTCTCAGGAGTATCTCGCCGATGAGTTCTTCAGGCAACGGAATGGGAATGGCGGCTGCTTCTAGCATCTCCTCTTCTGATGCCGGCTGATTCTAATCCTTCATTTTAGATTCTTATTGTTAAATTCAACCTAATCAGTCGCGTTTGAATATGAATTTTATAATAATCATTCTCATTTTGTCACATATATAAAAAAAAAATAAAAAAAAAAGGGAGAAATCTAACTCTAAATTTAATTAAAATAACAAGTCTATTAGATATTAAAAAAATTACTCATTCGCATATTTTGAATGTATCAAAAATTTCAAATAAATTTCACATCTCTTTGCATTCAAATACAATATTAACAGAAAAATATGCACTTTTTCTCAATTCTTTTTAACAATTTAACCACATTTTTACGAAAACATTTCATTTTCATGGGGGCACTATTTGTGATTTTTCCCGTATTTTAGAATAAGGTACGTAGCCATGAGATTTGTACTTGTGAAAAATAGAATGAGGTGCCAAATTTTCCTTCAATCTTATGCCAAACTCGACATATGGACTTCTTCGTCTCCTTTGCGGATAAGGCCCACTTCTTTAATGATGGGTAGGAGTTTTATTATAACATGTAAAGTTAAAATTAAGGCAATTTCTATGTACACCTTACTATTTCTCTTAGGTTTTTGACGAATTTTCTAAAATGTTCTTCTGAATTTGGAGATGCATCTCCGAACGCATAAAAAATTATTTATATTATAAAATAATTCGAAAATACATATTTGAAATCTCATAAGGATTAGTTCAGAAATACATTTCCGAACTATGCCTACTCCTAATTCCAGTAACATTCTTGACCAACCAACGCCAAAAGCAACATTTCGTTACATAACAATTTCATCTAGACGTTACATAGATATTCATGAAAATAAAGTCAACATTACATAACAATTTCATCTGTACGTCGCAACATAATCATTATGTCCTCGACGGATCTTTGAATCTTCTCTTCCATTTTAATCGGACCCTTTGATTCATAACGAAAAATACTCCACATCACCTTTATATCTTCATCCGTCCTCAGTTCAAGCTTGGTGAAATGGACCTTACCTTCGCTGTCAAACGAGGATGACTGATACTCGAGCTTTACAACTCTGCAATTTTTTGAAAAGCGCAACAGAGTATTCGGCTTGGATATCAAATCTGCGAGAGAAGTTTCTCGCGCGACCCTAAACTATTGTGTTGGTGCACAAAATTAGGGCTGAGACACACTTTATTTATATAAGTATTGGATCACTTTGGACCAGAAAAAGCAACATTTCATTATATAACAATTTCATCTAGACGTTACATAGATATTCATGAAAATAAAGTCATCATTGTTAACAATAATGAACATATAGAAACATAGAGAAGGATAAAGACCATTAAATTAGGGTTTCAATAGAATTAGCAAAAACTGAAAGAGTAAGGGTTACACCAGAGTATAAATACTAAATTCTAAGAAAGACCTAACTACCCTTACAAAGATATAATAAAATGATATAATGATAATATTATTATTAATAATAATAATAATAACTAACATCTCCCCTCAAACTCAAGATGAATTAGCAGAGAGCATCGAGAGTTTGTCGATCAAAAAACGAAAGTGTTTAATGGAATGTTTCTTCGTAAGCAAATCAACAATATGCAAAATGGAGGAGACAAACAGTAGAGTGTTTGTCCTATGCTGAAGATGATGATGAGTGAAGTGACAATCAATCTCAATGTGTTTCGTATTCTCATGAAAGACCGAGTTATGGGAAATTTGAGTGGCACTTTTATTATCACAATACATAAGAATTGGTTCAAAAAGAATGACACCCATATCAGAAAGTAACCAACGTAACCAAACTATTTCAGTAGTGGTGGATACCATAACACGATACTCAGCTTTCGTAGAAGAACGAGAGACAACATCTCGTTTCTTATTCTTCCAAGAAATAAGAGAATCTCCAAGAAAGACACAAAACCATGAGGTAGACTTACGATCCGTGGGGTCGCCAGCCCAATCAGCGTCATAATAAGCATGAAGTTCCAATGAGGACGATGAGGGAAAGAGAAGGATCTGAAATCGAGTTCCCCGAAGATAACGACATATGAGAAGAACAACTACCCAACACACTGTAGAAGGAGAGACAACAAACTGACTAACAACATGAACAACATAAGAAATATTTGGTCTAGTAATCGTAAGGTACACCAGACTGCCAACCAAAGTACGATATAAAGTGGGATCAGGCAAAGGAACACCATCAGATGAAGCATATTTCACATTCAACTCAAGAGGACTATCTGCTACTCTAGTATCTGAAAGGCGAGTTTGATCAATAATTTTGGCAATACACTTGGATTAACAGAGAAGATAACCTCTAGGAGCGTAGGTGTTGTACCCCAAAATTTGCCCTCCCATTTCTCATTGATTTCTCCTCACACAGCTCTTGAAGCTCAGGATCCAGTTAGGGTTTCATCTGCTCAAGACTCCTCCTTGCACTACTAACCCCAAATTAGGGTTTGTGTTTGCACAAAGATGTTTTGACCTAAAGTGCCCAAGATGACTTTCTTGCTTCATATTGACCTCCTAAGTTTATCCATACCAAGTTTCAAGTCTTGATTCCAAGTTTTGCCCAATCAATTGGACAGTTGACCTAGAAATCAACTGTATTGGGGAAAAAGTCAACTGTGGCCAATTGACAGTCAAATCTCATGAAATTTGATCCACATCAACATTATGAACTCATATGAACCATTTTATCAAGTTTGGATCACAATTCCACAAGAAATTTGATCAGATCACTAAAAGGGTAAAATGGTCATTTTTAGGGTTTTGACTATACAGAGGCAATTTTTGACTGTTTGACCTAGCCAATGGCAAACCAAGCTCACATATGGACTCAAGGACCCCATGGAATTATCTTGACATGCTCAACAAGTTCAAAAGATCCCAAGTACACAAGATTGACAGTTGAATTTCCCAGTCAATTGATCAGTTTTGACTGTATACTGAAAAGTCAAACTTTGACTTTTTGGTCAAAATCAAGAGTCAAGATTCATTTTTCATCAAAACATGCCAAATCATGAAACTTGTTCACCAAGAAATCACAAATTGCAAATTAGGGTTAGAAAATGGAATTTTTCATAACTTAGAATTTTTCTAAGTTATGAAAAACCCTAATTTTTTCCCAACTTTGCCCCACCTTTTCACCAAGATCCATTTGGATTCAAAAAAAAGTCAAAACATGAAAGTTGTAGCTTGTTGCATAATCTACAACTTTGATTCACAAAGTTTTCTCATTTGAAGCTTGTATCTCAAGTTACAATTTTTTGAATAAGGGCACTAAATCATTTTTAACTTAGTAGAATTTTAACCTATTTTGACAAGGTTTTCTACCCCACTTCAAGGCCATTTTTCATACACTTCCACTTGGAATTTCAATTTGCATTTCAAATATGGATTGTATTACACTTTCCAAGCTTTCCAAAATGTCCAAGAACTTCTCAAACAACCTCATGGTTAGGGAGAATCGAATTTCACAATATAGCAAAAAACCACTTTGTTCATGACCAAGTTCCATGTCCATAACTTGGCAAATTCGAACTCAGCATGCTTTAGGCTAGATTACAGGTCCTTAAACCAAGTTACACTCCATAATTTAATGCTTGTTCATTGTGCCAAGGTGTTGTTCCATGAGTTCAAGCATTGTACACAAGATTGATCCATTTCTAGATAAAGCAAATTAGCCATTTTGGTAAAAGTTCACTTTATGTCAATTTAGAAATCCAACAAGTACAAGCTAAATCCTTTTGGCACAAGATTATGGACAAATTGCTCTGATCAAGAGAAGATTATGCAGCACATTAGGAGGCCCCCTACATGCCTAGAAAGTCAACTTGCTTTTGTTGCTTAAGAAAGAAGAAAAGTTCCATAACTTGTAACAACTTCCATCTCAGCCTTAGAACAAGAAAGCAAATATTGTGGACACATCCCAAACATCCCAACCAAGCTTTTGCACGAATCCTTGACCCCTCAAACACTCTCCATCTCAGAAACACCATCAAACTGCTCAAACAGAGCAAGCCCTGCAGATTGAGTGCCATCTCTCAATCCCTTCAAGCTTTCTGGCCCAAACTTGTTCCTCTACCTTACTTACAACCTATGCAAGCTATCCAGAAGTTAAGGCACGATCTGTAATTGCTCTAACCACCTCCACCATTTTCACATCTTTGACTTGCAGGTGAAGTTCTACAGCTTGATCCAGAAGCTTTCAAGACAAAGTAAACATTGGAATAGCATCCCTGGACCTCAAGGAAGCTTTTCCAATCATCACCTTGCACTGAAAGTTCCTCATTCTCCAGATAGAAGTTCAACTGAATAGGTAAAATTTTGAACTCGTATCTCTCTTGTTATGCATCTTTAGTCTTAAGTTTGTGAAGAAACAAGGTCCTACTCATAGCCCTGAGCATGTACGTAGCTTTACATTTCATTTCTTTTGCCTGAGTTGAGAGAATTTAAGCTTTGAAAATGGCAGAAAGTTTAGGTCAAGATTTGGGATTGATAAAATTCTCTCTCATTTCTGAGAGTTAGGATGAGTTTTTTATATATTTGGAATCGTGATTCAATGCTTGACATGTTTTGTGTTGAAAGTTTGTGCAAAATCTCAAAGAATCAGGATGTTTGAATCTCTGTAACAAGGCGCGTGTTTTTGGCCAAAGGTTGAAGAAGAAGTGGATTGGGCTGGGCCTGTATCATTCTGCTATCCACACCATTTTTTCTGTTTCACACCCCTGAGCCCATTTGCTTCATTTTTTAATATTTTTGACTTTTTCTTTTTTTGTTTGACTTGTTTATTTTTCCTCAGCATATTAAAATTTTGAAAATAATTTTCTCATCATTTTTTGATTTTATTTGGTATTTATTTGATTTTCTTTTGATTTATACATATATGTATATATATTATTATTTAGGATAAATAGAAAAATAGTGTAAATACATTCTCATTTTCATTTTTATTTTATATTACCCTCTGAAAATATTTCATATAAA